AACGCTATTTTCAGATCGGTAGAACAGAGTGTATTTAACCAGGAAATTTTCCTATGCTCTCTGCTCAGGGAGTGGCCAGCAGCGTAAATTTGCATGTGCCAAATAACAATGGGTGCTTATTTCATAACATAAAATTTGCCTGTCCTCTCTGCTGGCACTGGCGTGTCTTTTCAAATCACTGCATTTTAAAACATGAAAGAAAAAGCCATCCATAGAATGAATTAATCCTGTTGCGTGATGAAAGCTTCAACAGATGCAGCTGAGGGAGCGTATGATCTTATGTGTCAGGCATTCGCTGTTTTTCATAGTTTTAAATAATCACAAATTGAGTTAGAAGTGTCTCTGGTAGAGCACAGGAGTCAGAGATCTTGGTTTCTCCGGTTCATCGTGGGTTTCTTGCAAGACCACCAGTGTATTGTTTATTCTGAATGGAGCCCGCAATGCTGCTTATGATTTAGGCCATGTGACATAACATTCAGTTCTCAATTGCTTGTAACTTAGCCAGACCTTAAGGGTTGAGGCTAAAATTTTTTCATCCTAGGTATGGAATAAGATAAAAAGAAAATGTGGGTTTGGTCAATGGCAAAAAGCAGTCATTGGTAGCACCATTTGTGCTCTGGAAGAGCACAGCAGGCACAGGAACTTCTGTCTCCTAACATCTTCTGGCTTTCCTAGTGGGGACCGTGCAGTTTGAAGGACAGGAACCTGGGTGCCAGAAGCAGCAGGGGCTCCCTGGGGTGGCAGGGAGCAGGGCAGGATGGGGGATACCAGGGCAGCCCCAGGCCAATGCTGTTACCCAGGCACCTCCCTGGGGATGGGGACAGGTTGAGGGTTTGGTCTGCTTTTTGAAGATGGCCCAGGCTGTGTTATGAAGAAGAGACTGTTGATGGGCTGCATCTTTATTTTCTTTAAGGTCATGTGGTGTGAGCTGTACCGAAGGCGAGATAAGGGTTTTCTGAAATAGCACATTAAGTGTCATCTGCCTCTCAGCCAGGGCATTAAGGAGCAGCTGCAGATCTTCTTCACTTTCATCTTTTTTGCTTTTGACAGTGAGCCAAAACTCAGCATAGTCTGCTCAGAATTACCATGATTACCAAGGTCTGGCGCCCAAGGTCTGAGATCTCAAAATGTGTCTTAGACCACCCCAACTTGTAAAATCAATCTGATTTCAAATATTCAGGTCAAAAGAGTGGGTAACTCCTGAGTTTGGGTTCAAGTCTTGAATATCATGGGTTTGGGTGGCAGTAGGGGATGGGGAGGGGGAGCAGCTGGCATGCGAGGACACGAGTTGGCTGAAACTGAACTCAGCCGCAGGTGTGGGATGCGGGAAAAAGTAGAGATTATTTTGACTCTTGACTTTTCTCAAGTGTGCTTACAGCTTGCCCACCTGCTTCCTTGGTCCCTTTTGAAGGCTGCATCTTCTTTTGACAACGGGACAACTGCAGCCAGGGGTGGTTAGCCTGAGAGCTTTATCTAAACACTGATAGCAAGTATTTCTGCACAGCGCTTTTGACTCTGAACCTTCTGCTTGGTTATCGGCTCTTAGGATTGTCCCAAGTTTGGTTTGTTCAAGCTTTCAGAGTATTTTGGATAACTCAACTTTTCTTTCATACCTTTAAAAGAAAATATGATCGGTGTGCCAGAGATAGAGGAGAGTTAATAGTTGCTTGGCTGGATTGAGTGTTTGGCTCAGGTGTACTTCACATAACTTGTCCGTTGTGATCCAGCTGGGGACTTAAATACACAACTGAATCACCCTAAGTGATGGTTTGTTAAGTCATCAAATGATATTACCTTCACATCTTTCAACCTCTCATATTTTAAGTCTGGGAGAGAAACATTTTCAGTCATTCACAATTAAGAAACACTGTTTGGAGAACACCGCCTTGCACAAATCCATAAATGTTTTGCTCTGTAATATCTAAGATTTCTATGTTTGTTTTACATCCGAATGAGGAGAGGCATAAGTGAACCTGCCACTATCTCAGTTACAGTGCAGTCTGAGGAAATGTAATGCTAGATATAATTGGACCACATGGTCGAGTATTTTTAATGATCGTGAGATGATTGAATTTACTGAATTATCTCAACCCACGCTGTTCCGATACTATTAATTTGCCTTAAATCAGCTGAAGCAATGCAATGCAGAGCAGCTATGTTTGGTGTGTAGCATTCTGGTCATTAATAGTTCATTGTACTTTTTAATGCAGATTACCCATTAGTTTGCTTATTGTAAACATAGTCCTAGACTAACAACTCATAGTTCTCTGTGCTGCTGCTGAATAATCTACTAGGGTGATATTCACAGGTAAAAGAACAATAAAATAAGGTAAATTAAAATAGAATAAAAATTAATCCAGAAATGTATGATGTAGTAGGAATTTTGTGAAACTTTTTAGGCACAGTGGAAAAAGTATCCTGTAGATGACTTTTATATCCTTCAGAGGAGATATATGAGTTGATACCATTTCATTTTTTTAATGTAGATTATAGAACAACAACTAGAAGATTAAAATCCCTAGGCAGTGCGGAAAGGAAATCTGAGACAGAGTAGGCTAGAAAGTTTTTCCATGGACAGCGGCAATGGCATTGCACCGCAGCGTGCCGTAGTGGGGAGAATGCTTTTAATACAAGTTTCAGCAACTTTTAACTTTCCCTATCAAGGAAGATTTGCCCAGTGTTTCAGTTTCAGTGATTTTGTGGGAGCTTACAGTTTGTGCCACCTGATGGCATGGGACACAATGGCTGGCATTGCCCTTAAGGGCAATATCAGCATGAAGGTTATTGTGAAGGTAATTAATGCCTGTCGAATGCTTTGTGTGCATGTGTGTGCGCGTGTTTGTGTGCAATGATAAAAAGTTTGATGACAAAGTTCTTTTAGCTCTCCTTGTCTAAAGCTGGAAGGCATGACAAAGCGTAATACAAGCACAACACAGTGCATACTTAAATATTCTGCCAGATACTTGTTCATCGTGAGAGGTTTGAAAACGAAGCTCTAAAATGCTTCCTTAAAAATTCAGAAAAGGAATTGTCAGTACTGAAGTTATGAATTAATTATACACTTGTCTGCTTATATTTTCATCAGCATTCTAAAAACTCAAGAAGTTGACAGGAGAAAGATGTCACTTGAGATGCATGAGCTGTAAGAAGCGGTTACAGGACAACAGGAACTGCAGCCTGTAGAAAAGGAAAAATTCGTAACATCACCCACAGTCCTATGTGAATGCCAAGTCATGAAATGCAAGGAATGAGTAATAATTCTGTTTATATAATCTTGCATTTAAAAAGATAAACAAACTAAAAATCATTTTCTGTTTGATGCTTCAGAACTCAAAGGTTGCCATACTCATGATGCTTTTAAAATTTTTTTTAAAAAATCAGCTTGGTTTTGGGAAAGAAGGAATAAGCTCTGTTAGAAATAGTGTTTGCAATGCATTTGCAAAAAAGAAAAAAAAGTAGCCCCCTGATTTATTAAAGCCAGAATGTACTTCTCCTTTCTCTTTAAAAGATACTTAATGTAGCTAGTAGTTCTGACAGGTTATTTTTCCCACTGTTGTGGTATAAAGGTTACACACGTGGTTAGGGGCGATGCATCATATTTCTCTGCTTCGCTAGAGCTCCTGATATTAACGGGGCGCAGGAACGTGTTTCTGCAAAATACTGAGTTGAGAAGCTGAAGGGCCTTCAGCTTGCATCATCTTTCAGATGATTAGATCTGAATGACACTATTGTAATTTTGGCTTAATAATATCTGTTAGATTTATGCTTCCTTGGAGATTCCTACTCAAATCCTCGATTTAACTTTCCTAATAACACAGAGGGGAATATATTGTGTTTTGTATATGTAACACAAGGCAGAAGGACTATGTATAAGAAATTAACTTGGTGGTTAACGTTATGATTAATTCTGGTTTTCAAGAAATGAAAGACATGAAGAATGCTGCTTTTTAGAGTGTTGTTACTTTTGAAATACTGCTTCATGATAATAGTAATTCAGAACTCACTGAATGTTATGAAAGTCTCCTAAATAACATGTTTAGAATATTTTTGAGTCTAAATTGATTCAAAAGTATTGCTTATAATAAGAATGAAAGGAAATTATGTTTCAGCAACATGTAACTGCTAAACGTGTGACTGTGGGTAAGGATTTCATGAAGTAGTAATATTTAATTGTACTGTTTATAAATGGATAAACTTTCTGGATGGTAAGTAAATAAATATTTAACAGCTTGTGACTAATATTAATCTAAAATTAATGGTTAGCTAGTAAAACTGTCAATGTTTTAAAAATTAAATATTTAAAATTTGATGGGTTGTTGTTTTTTTTTATATGTCTACCACTGTAGATTAAACAAAAGGTTTGTGTCGTATCACATGTGAACTGGACATAATATCTTACATTTATTATATTCCATTTGCAGCAAAGATGCTTTGGAATTAATCTCCAATTTCTGTGATTTTTACTATAATTGGCTTTTATTCATGCTAATGATCAAAAATGAAGTTGGTAGGAAAGAATATATTTCAGTTAGGTAAGAAAGAGCATATTTTGACTCAAGCAACATCACGCAACGTTGCATAATGCTACAGCAAATTGTTTCAATAGGATGTTGCGAGTAGATTCCCGAGTAATGTAAAAGTTTAGGTTCTTGTTTAATTGTACATGACCATTTTCAAGTGTAAACTGCTCCTTTTTGTCTAAAACTGTTAGTTCAGAATGAACTCAGAACTAACTCAGAATGAACTAACAGAGGAGGAAATTCTATTAGCTCATACTATGAAAATTCCTATTTGTAAGAAAATGAATGAGTTATTTTGGAAATTTGTCTGTTACAATAAGACTGAGTCAACTGTTTTATTAGATATATGAAACCTTTTTTAGTCATCTGTCAGATTGGAGGAGATGCAATAAGAATCTTCACTGCTTAGAAGTTTCCATTAAAGACTAGCAGATCTTTTTTTGTATCAACTCGTTGAAGTTTCTATTTTATGACTTGCAGGTAGTGTTGTATCCAACATCCAATAGCCCAAAGTCACCTGATCTGCATAAAATGATAGTCCCCAAAAACAGCCAAGACAGTGACTTGAAAATTAAACTGGCGGTGAGAATGGATAAACCACCTCACATGAAGCACTGTGGGTAAGTGTCCGTTTGCTGGCTGGCTGTATTTATTATTTTGCCTCGTTATGCCTGTGTTTAAGCATAGGTAGCTAAAAAAATAAGGTTTGTAAAGCATTATAAACATGTACAACAGTTCCTGGATATAACCAAACTTTATGTATAAAACGGGGATATAACCACATTGTGTTATATCCTCGTTTTATACATAAAGTTTGGAATGGTCAGGAATAATATTTCAGGTGTTCTGTGGTGTGTAAAGACAGATGATGAGCCGACTCTGAAATGCAGAACGGAGTACAGTGTCACTGAGAAACTGGTTTTGAATGTTACAATTTATAGCACTTTGGAAAAAAAAAGTTGATACTTAGGAGAAAGATATTTTTCCATTAAAGTAGGATTAATTATATACCTGAATGCGGTGGTACTTGCAGCATAGTCTCCCCTTTTCTTTCTCTGTCCGCTGTGTGGTATTTCTCTTGAAAGGAATTTATGTACGAATACCAGTTTAAGGATGTTTTTTCCGTCTAACACTGGGACTAAATGGAATAGGTTATTCATAAAGACAGCTCCCCTAGCCAGCTGCCACCACTATTCCTCGTTCCAACTGCAAAACCAGGGAGTGTTGCCGACAGCAAGGAAGGCTGTATCTGTTGTTACAGAGCAATTACCAGGGCTGTTTTCCATCCTGTTAACATCTGCTGAATTAAGTAGAAGTACATTTCAAAAAAGGAGGACTATTCAACAAGTTAATGTAGAATTAATGTAGTGGCCATACTATTTAGATTTCTTTTTAATCTACTCCTCTTAATATTCTGCTCATTGTATACAGTCAGCAATTGCCAAAATTTCCTATATTCAATACTTTTAAAACAAACAAAAAAAACCCCCAACTTATTTAAGTTTTGGCAAAGCTTTAATTGGTTGGAGTGAAATTTCCCAGGTATCAACCTCAGCCCTCATTTTGGTTTTGAGAAACTTAGACACAAATGGTCAGGACTGTAACAGCGAGACTTGCTGGCTGGAGACCTGTGGCTGGTGACCAGGAGCTGGGAGGAAAGAGAGGGAAACCAGTCATAGAGCCGATGGGGGAGCTGGAGCTACTGTGTGTGGAGGCTGGGACTGAGATGAAAAGGCTTAGAAGCAGGGCTGCAAATACATGAATAAGGAAAATGGGATTATGTGGCAGGAGAGAACAGGAAGACTGGGCTGATAAGAGTAAGTTGGAATGGAGAGGACCTAGGGAGGAGAGACAAGTGCTTGCCTGTACTAAAGCATGATGCTCTCCTGTCGGTTCCCATCCCCCCCGCCCCATTCATTTGCACTCACTCTACACCTCTGTAATGGTTTGGTTATTGTGGCACATCCATGTCTAGATTCAGTCCACCTAGGATGGTTTCAGTCTCCTGCTGCTGGAAGGCATTCAGCCAGTTGACGCAGTGAATGCTGCAGGAGTGGCGTGGTGCTGCCTGTGTTCTTCAGTGTCAAAAGGCAACCATGGGGACAGATGACTTGAACAACATCAGTGACGAATAATACACAACAGATGCATCTAACATGCACGTGACCTGGCTCGGTTGCATGCTCCACACTACAGCTACATCAAGGGTGTTGTGCTCCCATGCGCCTATCCCAACAGATGACTGGGAAAAGTCCCCATTTTTGATCAGGTCACTGACAGTGTTGGGGTCGTGCTCTCTGCAACCCCAATTAGGGTATAACATCATGCATCTTAATTTGACCTGGGTCCAGAAACAAGAATAAGACTCCAATGCTTCCTCCCATCGTGCTCCTGGGTTTGCCCAGAGGCTTTCTTGGCTGGGAGCTGTTCTTCTGGGGTCTTCAGAGGGTCTTCCTAACCCCCCGATTTGCTTTTCCATACTGGTTTACGTCACTGGTCTTCTTGTCTGAGCATTAAATGGATATCCCAATCAAATAGTACTTTCAATAATTTAAATCAATCATTATATCTTGCTGCTGCTGCTGCTGGTTACTTCCTGACGTTGATTTTGAATCCTAATCTCCTGGCACAGTTGTGTGCGTCTTCATTTTACTTCAGGGTCACTGCTGTCATTATTCTACAGGCAAATATTATTGTTCTTCTCACCAAAAATGCTCGAGGTCAGTCATCATTTTCCTTTCTTCATAGCCGTTAGCTATAACGATTCTTACCTACACATTTGTCTAAGAAAGTTAGGGTACCAAAGGACGGCTGTATGGACTCCTCCACCATAAATACATGTGAAGTGAAATAAAAAGGTTAATAATTCCTCCAATAACTGTTGAAAACATTGATGAAATACTGTATGATGGTATGGGAGTTGCAGTGAGAGGAAGGAAAAGGGTGTTTCTTTGGAGGGAAAAACGCATCTGCTAGAAGAATTATTAATGTGTATGGTCAGGAACCATTAAAGTTATGAAAAGCCATCATCCCGACACTCTCTGCAGCCTTCTCTTGACTTCCCGGGTGAGCATAAGTATTAAGTGGTCATTTGCTATTTTTTCAAGAGGGATTCCCACCTGCTTGAATGCACAGAGTAAAGCTATTCTGGTTCTGGACTGATACTGTGTTATCAGAGAAATCCTCATTTGTGAAGAGGCTGGAAACACAGGGTGGATGATGGACAGTATTACAGGAAGGCAAAGGAATATTTTGCGGTTGAAGTCGTTGAGGGATGCTTGGAAGAACTGGCTTTTATCCCTGTTTGTGCTACTGAAGAGGCACCAACGCTTCCACCTATAGTAACTGGTGGTATGTTATTTGTTTCCTGTGCCCAGTTTCATAAACTGGAATCTGATTTCATGAAGGTGCCCGACACTCACAGCTACTAGCTGAAATCGGTGGAAACTGGGCTGTAAATATGTTATGCTGTTAGAGTCCCAAACATCCTAAAAATTAGATCATCTTCTTAATATCTGAAGCCTAAAGTTTTTAGTACTCCAGTTCTCCCGTTATGAAGTGAGAATAATACCAATTGCCGGTGCCGTAGACATTTGAAGGTAAATCTTGGCAAGCAACTGGTAGAAAATGTTCCTGCACACCTCACGAGCTGGGGGAAGTGGGGCATGGTCACTTCTCCAACACATGGCCCAGGCGTTATTGCGGTGCCAGGCTCTGCAGTTCCCTGGTGAACCTGCACGAGGTAGAAAAGCAAATAACTCTGTTCTCTCTGTAAAACAGTGTTTGAGTAACATGCAATGAAACAGGCCATAGGAGAAAATAAAGTGTTGGAAGAGCTGGAAGGCAGCTGCTGCTGTCGTGAACAGTGAAAAGGGCTGGGATGTTTTGGGGGGGTTTATTTTATTTTATTTTGTTTTATTTTATTTTTAAAAATTTTACTTTATTTGTAGTCTGCAGTCAGATATTTAAGCACAGTATCATGGAGTAAACAAAAGGGGAGGGAAATAAAAGGATGAAAGAATGTCATCATCCTTGCTGCTGGAATTTCATCATGTTAGCAAGTTGAATTTTACAGCCGTAATGACAGACTTCTAATGGAGTTAGTGTGATTATCCCAGTTAAGTTCTAGTTCTTCAGTTTGTTTTTCAAAACTCCAGAACTTGTTTTTCAGTCTTTGAACTGGACAACTTAGGTTTTCTGTGTCGGTCTGTTAACAAGCTAGCATACAAGATTCATATTTGTCTCATAGGAGAAAAAGGCAATCTGTTGCCATTAGATAATGGCCTTTCAGCTGAGAATCTCAAAATTTATTCAAAGTTGAATTAAAATTTTACCCCACAGCCAACTGCAGAAAGAGGGGTTTTATTAGATTTATGCTCTATCACAATTAAAAAAAATAATAATGGTAATAAGAGACCGTCTTTTCAGATATGGGAGCTACGCTCAAAATATTTCTGTTTCTGCAGGGTCAGCAAAACCCACAGACCCAAGCTAATTGTGGGATTACAGTTTTATTCCTTCAGAAAAGTTTCTCCAGTTTAAGACTGACTTTACTTACTGACTCAGGGGATAATGCTGAAAGACTTCAAAACCTGTCTCTCACTTATGCTTCAGGAATATTGTTTTACAAATTATACTGTCTTGTACTTGAATAGAGATTTTTAATTCACAAATAGCATTGTGGACTGCAGCACTTTCAGATCACGTTCCCTCTTTGGGTCTCCGTAGTCATAACAAATAATTATATTTCGAATAAAATTATAAACTTGGGATTTTTTTCATTATAGGTTATAACCGTTCTAAGAGCAAGAAATAAATGACTCATCACTACTATGAATCTCAATTGCAGTTCATTTGTACCTCTGAAAAAGAACTTTGCTAAGCACATTACTTTTACACTAGTGTTTTTGTTGACACGTTCATGCAGCTAATCTAAAGTTACTCTACTAACATGATTTTTTAAAAAGCACTTGATCAAGGAAACACTCCATGATTTTTCTACACATGCTATTACATGCTTAAAAAATAAGGAGTACTCATATACATCTTACAGTAAACATAATCCTAGTATGTATTTTAGATTTTTTTTTGTATTCTTGCATGAAAGGCTCTCAAAGTATGAAAGAACCCAAAGGATATATAACCATCCTTTCCTGTTTAAACCCTGTCAGTAGATGACAAGGGGAAGCATGTACAGCTAGAAATTCTGAGTAATGACAGGGTAAATGCCACTCATTAATGGGGATTTGTAGAACAGTTCTGATTATTGACAGGTCATGATACTTCAGGTTCCTTTCTCATATTTTGTAATGTATTCGTCGTCTTCTCATAGAATGCTGTAACCTTTTCCTTGTCTAAAATGCAGAGCACACAGAAGATATTTCTTCTAATCTTTATTAAGATAGTAAAGCCAACATCCATACAAAAGGAGGTTTTTGAACATTTCTATTAATTTCTTCTGTTGCAGTCTTGAATCTAAAACAAATCATCAGAGGAAATAAGCAAAATTTGACCCAAAATACTCTTATATAAAATGCTAAAAAGCCTGTTCATTTCTGTCAAGTCAGAATAGCAGCATTAGGGAGGTACTGCTTGCTTCAGGAAGGCTCACTCGGTTCAT